TTTTTTCCCTGACTACTTTGTGGCCTTCGTTTTATTGAACTCCGTTTAACAGCCAACGAAATGGTTCGTATTTTTATTGCTCTGATTAGTTTATTTTGAAATCTGCCTCGAGTTCGTTTTTGTTTTCTGATTGCTGTCGATTTTATTAGAGAAGGAGAAGAAGTCAAAACCAGTAGCTTGCATCCTGGTTTCTTTTTGCGCGTTACAGATTTTTTGTTTGCTGATTTTGCTTCCTTCTGCTTTCAGTTTTTTTGCTTGTTTTACTATATTATCTTCTAATTTACACTTTGAACAAGCTGGTATCCAATGGCTGTGTCCAGTCTTGTCCATTAAGCTCGTGGGCAAAACATAAAGTTTTTTCTCGGGTTGAGAGAAGTTTAAGTTAAATTAGCCAGAAGGGGCCAATTAATTATATGTTGCTGCTCCTTTTCCAGACTTTGGCCCTCTAAGATCTTAGAACTCGTCAGCTAATTCTTTCTTATTGTACATAGAATCCGCTCGGTTATTTTCTTCACCAAGCTTAATGTTTGTACCTTTTAAGTGAGAGTTTGTTTACCCAGATGATGTAAACCGTTGTACCTCAATTACTACAAGATTCCAAAACAGAAACATCATGGGTCTTATTGAACAACTTACCAAATCCTCCTCAGGCTTATTTCTCTGAATTAATTTGAATCCTCTTAGGTTGTGTCGTGACTCGTGATTCGCACAGACCATCCTTTCCTCCTCAGTTGGATCTTGCCCCTATCTTTCTTCTGTCAATACCCTCGATTACTTGCCTTTTCATCTCCTTTCCCGAGTCACCATAGAAATTATGAAGCAAACCTGACCATAGAGTTTGTGACAATAGAAAAGCGGGAACCAACTTACCAGCAACCAGGCATTTTCACAAGGAGACCAAGCATTAAAAAAAATAAAAAATTTGACCATATATAAAACTCAAATGTAGACTCGGTAAAGATAATTAATGGAGAATCTTTCAAACACTCACCTGACCTCAAACTCTGCAATGGAATGAGAATCCACGTGGCAAAGAACTACTTTACTCTCTACACACAGTTTTGTCCAACCAAGTGACACTTCTCAGTTATTGTTAAACATTATACTAACTAATCAAGGATGGTTTTTTGTGATCTCATGCAGATTAACCTCATCACCCCCAAATTACATCATAGCCGGTGCACATTTCAGTATCTACCTTAAATATATTTCCAAGTAAAACTCATTTTCACTAACTGAGTTTTCTCTTTCTCCATATTGATACTAATGAAATTTCTGACGAGTTATTTCTACATTTTTTTTTTTTTTTTTTTTGATAGGGACAAGTGATGATACCGAATTTGTGAGACCAATGAACAGAAGACACGTGTCCCGGCAGTTCGGTATTTAACGCTTTTGTCCAGTCTCCCCAACTCATAGTGGCGCGCCAACATCTCGGCATGGCAATTCAGATCGCTATTACAGACATCCTCAAGGCCAGCAGTCTATTCGACCTCATACAAGATGTGAGCCTACCACTCTAGCCAGATATCAAAACATCGTGCATCAACACATCAACTTAGTGGGATACATGATATTAAGCCTCGCTGTCATGTTATTAAGCCCTAAGTAGGCTAAATAATCCCTTATAAATTCATTGACATAGTTCATCTATGGAGATCCCATTTTTTTTTCCGTTAAATTTTCATTAGAATATATTATTAAATACAGAGAAAAAATGGGGGGAACTCATTCAGTTTCTATGTTGTCGTGAAGTTTGAAGTTCGTTACAAAAACTAATCTTAATAACAATCACAATGTTTAAATCAACAAAGTTGTTTTCAAGAATCTATAAGAAACAAATTTTGGCTCTATGCTTAAATTCCATTTCCAGATCACCACCATATCGTCATCTAGAGTGCTGGTAACTGTGGAAATAACAACAATGACCATCATAATTACCCAAATAAAAATAATCCTGAGCACATGCAAGTCGATATATTGTTGGTATCAAAAACAATATTTATTAAATAAATACTAATACTTAATTATATGGGAGAGAGTAGTTTATGGGAACAGATTTATTTCAATGCTCTTTTTCTTTCTTTTCCTCTTACACCATACATGATAACATTCATATATATAGTAGTTAGAAGAAACCTCTAGATCACTAATTATTTCAACTACTAACCACTTTCTTCCTAACATCTAACTAATGACAATTATTTCAACTAATTCCAACTTATTCTAGAATGTGCATTAATTTTAACACTCCCCCTTAATGCTCATTTCGATAATTCCAAGTTTTTTTGCGTAGAGTATCGAATCTTGGTCGTGGTAAAGCCTTTGTGAAAATATCTGCAAGTTGATCTTCAGTGGCGACATACTTGAACTCTATCTGCTTGTCATTAGTTGCTTCACGTAGAAAGTGATATTTGATAGCAATGTGTTTGGTCCTGCTGTGATGTACAGGATTTTTTGCCATTGCTATTGCTGACTTGTTGTCGCAGTATATCTCTATTGGACTTTCTTGGTGTTCTCCCATGTATCCAAGAATACGCCTAAGCCAAATAGCTTGACTTGTCGTTAGTGCTGCTGCAACATACTCAGCCTCTGCTGATGATTGCGCCACACAATCTTGCTTTTTAGATGACCATGAGAATATGCCTGAGCTAAGTGAAAATGTGTAGCCTGAGGTATTTTTCATGTCGTCAGTTGATCCAGCCCAATCACTATCTGTGTAGCCGATCAATCTTGAGTCTTCTTTATATTCGTAATGGATTCCATAGTATTTAGTACCCTGCAAATATCGCAGTATTCTCTTTGATGCTCCATAGTGGACTTGGCTCAGACATTGCATGAACCTCGACAGTAGACTTGTAGCATACATGATATATGGTCTTGTGGTCGTTAGATATAGTAGGCTTTCAATCAGACTTCGGTATGTGGATGCGTCTGCATTTGGTGTACCATCTTCTTTGGTGAATTTTTCGTTAGCGACCATAGGAGTAGCCACAGGTTTACAGCCGTCCATCTTGAACCTTTTTAGTAGATTATCTGTATATTTCCTCTGTGAATAAATATCCCCTTTTCTTCTTGAGTTACCTCAGTGCCGAGAAAATAGCTCATTTGCCCAAGGTCGGTCATCTCAAAAGTCTTCATCATATCTTCTTTGAACTCCTTAATCATCTCCTCGTTGTTCCCTGTATATATAAGATCATCTACATAAAGAGAAACAATGAGTTTGTTGTCGTTACCTTGGGTCTTGATGTAGAGTGTTGGCTCAATTTTGCTTCTTTTGAATCCACGACTGGTGAAGTAGTCATCAATTCGGCTGTACCAGGCTCGTGGAGATCGTTTCAGTCCGTAAAGAGCCTTATTTAGTTTTAGGACTTTATTTTCTTGTCCTTCTGCCACGAACCCTTGAGGTTGTTCGACATAGATTTCCTCTTCCAGGTAGCCATTGAGGAATGCTGACTTGACATCAAGCTGGTAGATTCTCCATTTATTCTCAGCTGCAAGTGCAATTAGAGCTCTTATGGTGTCTAGCCGAGCAACTGAGCGAAGGTCTCGTTGTAATCGATCCCGGGCAATTGTGAGTACCTTTAGCGACCAGCCGCGCTTTATGTTTTTAGATTGATCCATCTGGGTTAAGCTTCGTCTTGTAGACCCACTTAACTCCAATGACTTCCTTGTTGTTTGGTGGATCGACTAACTCCCAAGTTTTATTCTTCTCGATCATTCTGATTTCTTCCTCCATGGCTTTTACCCATTCTTTTTCCTTTACAGCTGATTCAAAGCTTTCAGGTTCCATCGTGGCAAAACTGCATGTCTCGTAGATCTCCCTGAGTGTTCGTACTTTTCTCGGTGGTGATTCTGGGGATGACTGTTCGTCGCTTGAAGGTGATGTTGTCCTCGGACTTGAAGGTTGTGGAGCTAGAGGTGATTGTGTACCTTCTGCTTCATCTTCATGTTCTTCTGGTATGGTACTTGTCTTCGTGATGCATGTACCGTGATATTTTGGTATTCAACTTTTTCTTCCTCCCAGTTCCATGCAACATTTTCATCGAACTCAACATCTCGACTTATAATTAGTTTACCAGTCTTGAGGATGTAAATTATGTATCCTTTAGACTAAGAGGCATAGCCGAGGAATATGCCTTTTTCAGATTTCTCCTCTAATTTATGCCTCTTTTCCTTTGGGATGTGCACGTAGCAGATACTCCCAAAAACTTGTAGATGTTGGGCTGACGGTTTTCGTCCACTCCAAGCTTCTATTGGAGTCTTATTTTGGACTGCTTTAGTAGGGTACCTGTTGAGCAGATAGACTGCAGTGTATACAGCTTCTGCCCAAAATTCTTTTGGCATGTCCTTCTCCGCGAGCATTGTCCTGGCCATCTCTTGTACGGTTCTGTTTTTCATTTCTGACACTCCGTTTTGCTCTGGAGCATAGCCAACAGTTAGCTGATGGTTCACTCCTTCATCCTCGCAGAATGTGTTGAACTCCTTGGATGTATATTCTGTTCCTCGATCACTCCGAAGTACTTTACTTCTTCTTCCACTTTGATTTTCGATGAGGCTTTTGAATTTCTTGAAGATAGAGAAGACTTCGGACCTTTCTTTGATGAAGTACACCCAAGTCATTCTTGTATAGTCATCAATAAAGAGGATGAAGTACATGTTCTTTTCGAAGGTTGGCGCCCTCATTGGTCCACACACATCTGTATGCACCAGCTCCAGTATTTGTTTAGCTCTTCCTGCTCGGTTTGAAAGAAATGGTTTCCTATGTTGTTTTCCCTCCATGCACTTCTCGCAGAGATTGTCGTTCAATTGGATGGCCGGTAGATTTTTCATCATATTTTTCTGATGAAGTAACTTTAGCCCGTTGAAATTGAAGTGCCCGAACCTTCGGTGCCATAGCCAGGATTGATCTTCTTGGGCTTTTAGTGCTGCTTCTATGAATTTCCATCAGAGCGGAAAGTTTCCCTGTTGTTGCATTTTTACTATAGATATGGGATTACTTTTATTGTCATAAATGGTGCAAGAGTTATCTTTGAAGAGTAGTGTGTATCCTCTTTCCACCATTTGTCCCACGATGAGCAAATTAGTATCAAGTTTTGGTACTAGAAGCACATCTTCAACGAGGCGAGTACCTTTTTGAGTCTCGACCTCAATTGAGCCTTTTCCTTCAACTTCTACTAAATCTCCATTACCCAATCGAACTTGTGATTTTACTGATCCATCAATATTTTTAAATTTTTTCTCATCTCCAGTCATATGGTTGCTACAGCTGCTATCTAGGAACCAAATATCATTTTTCTCTTCTGAAGTTACATAATTTGCATAGAATAGCAAATTTTCTCCTTTTTCATTTTCTTCAGAGAAATTTACTTGATATCCTTTAGCGCGACAATTTTTCTCAACATGACCGGATTTACCACAATTTTTACATTGTGGCTTATCTCGGTACCAACAATCCTTCTCAAGATGGTTAGTTTTCTTACAAACTCCACAAGGTGGATATTTTCCTTTTTGTTGATTATTATTATTTCTACCTTGATTTTTATTTTTATTATTTTCTCCAAATCTTCTTCCCCCAATTTTAAAATTCTGAGACTGTAAATTTAATTTTGACTGAAATGCATTTTCGATTGTATCATTTTCACGCATACTCAGTCTTTTTTCATAGGCTTCAAGTGAACCTATTAATTCTGTCCCTGACAAATGATCCAAATCTTTAGTTTCTTCCGTCGTCGTGACGATAGGATCATATTTGGCTGATAGAGTAATTAGAATTTTTTCTACCACTCTTTTGTCAGTGATATTTTCTCCAAATGCTTTTATTTGATTTACTACTTCTCTTAATCGAGTGTAGTAATCTTTTACGATCTCAGATTTTTTCATCTTCATATTTTCTAAATCTCTTCTTAGAGTTTGTAATTTAAGATGACGTACCTTGTCACTACCCTGATATTCTTCCTTGAGAGTATCCCATGCCTCCTTTGATGTCTGTGCTCCGCTAATTCGTGGAAACAGGGACTCCGTCATGGCCATTTGTAGTGTGAAAAGGGCCAAACTATCTTTTTTTTCTCCCGGTCGAATTTTTCTTCGTCTGCTGTAGACAAAGTGGATATGTCATCGGGGATAGTATACCCATTCTCGACAATATTCCACAGGCCTTGAGACATAAAATATGTTCTCATTTTAATAGTCCAATAATTATAATTTTCGCCGGAGAAAATAGGAATTGGTATTTGGTGGGTGTTTTGGGAAGTTGCCATTTAATGGGCTATATGAAAATAGGAGAATATGTGAAAGTAGAGTATTAGACAAGATATGTGAAAATAAGAGAATATTGAAAAATAATTTCGCCCAGCTATGTTGGAAAAATCAGTTGTAAAATTTGGGTTTGACCCGGTTTTGACTGAATTTCTGATGGCTAAATATTTAATTTGAGTTGAATTAAATATTGTAGAAAAATTTTACGTTTCGAGTAGATACTCGTGGTATATTTATTTTCTCAAAACTGATTTTCGGTGAGTGAAAAATAAATTGTTAAAGTTA